CAAGGGACTGGACTAGATGACCTCCGAGGTCCCTTCCGACTCTATTATTCTATGACTCTGTAAGGATCTCTTGTGTGAGCAGGGGGCTGGACTAGATGACCTCCGAGGTCCCTTCAGAGTCTGTTATTCTAGGACTCTGTAAGGATCTCTTGTGTGAGCAGGGGGCTGGACTAGATAACCTCCGAGGTCCCTTCAGGGTCTATTATTCTACAACTCTGTAAGGATCTCTTGCGTGAGCAGAGGGCTGGACTAGATGATCTCCCAGGCTCCCCTTCCAACTCTGCTATCCTGTCACTCAGAAATGGTATTCCACTTGGGGAGGGGGCTGGACTAGATAACCTCCGAGGTCCCTTCCAAGTCTGTTATTCTATGACTGGAAGGATCTCTTGCATGAGCAGGGGGCTGGACTAGATGACCTCGGAGGTCCCTTCCGACTCTGCTATCCTGTCATTCTGAAATGATATTCCACTCGTGGAGGGGGCTGGACTAGATGACCTCCGAGGTCCCTTCAGGGTCTGTTATTCTATGATCCTGTAAGGATCTCTTCCGTGAGCAGGGGGCTGGACTAGATGACCTCGGAGGTTCCTTCTGACTCTGCTATCCTGTCACTCTGAAATGATATTCCACTCGTGGAGGGGGCTGGACTAGATGACCTCCGAGGTCCCTTCCAATTCTGTCCTTCTCTGATTCTGTCAGGGTCTCCTGCTTGAGCAGGGGGCTGGACTAGATGACCTCCGAGGTCCCTTCCAACTCTATTCTGGCTGATTGATTGATTGAAGGGAGTCTATCTTCCTTCCACGCTCTCTTGACGGCTGACACTTTGCATATCACTCCGAGACAGCTTTATATGTTTGATGCTGTACTTTACGGTTGTGTAGGGGCTTCTTCGGAACAGAAGGAGCAAAATTAGCACGGCTTACGCGCAGACGGATCTCTCCTACTCCGGGTTGAATCCCTCCGTCAGGAAGGCCGGAAGCTGAGCAAGTAGTAGGGTGTGAAGAAGACAATCTCAGCCCGGGATCCAGGAGAAGCGCAGTTTTAGTTCCGTACAGAAGCGGAAAAGGAGACCTCGGGGGGGTTCTCAGCGGAGGAGTGACCCCAAAACCGGAAGAGTTGGAAGGGACCTCAGAGGTCATCTAGTCCAGCCCCCTGCTCGAACAGGAGACCCTTACAGAATCACAGAATGACAAGAGTTGGAAGGGACATCGGCGGTCATCTAGTCCAACCCCCTGCTCAAGCAGGAGACCCTTACTGGATCACAGAGTTCAAAGGGATCTTGGAGGTCATCTAGCCCAACCCCCTGCCCTCTTAAAAGTTCAGCCCTCTTAAAGCATGCTGGCGAGGGGATTCTGGGGGTTCAAATTCAGCCATGTTAAAGCCTGCTGGCTGGGGGATTCTGGGAGTTGATGTTCAGCCATGTTAAAGCATGCTGGCTGGGGGATTCTGGGAGTTGTGCAGCCATCTTAAAGCATGCCGGCCAGGGGATTCTGGGAATTCAACTTCCACCATCTTAAAGCATGCCAGCTAGGGGATTCTGGGAGTTGAAGTTCAGCCCTGTTAAAGCATGCCAGCTAGGGGATTCTGGGGGTTCAAATTCAGCCATCTTAAAGCATGCTGGGGGGGGGATTCTGGGAGTTGAAGTTCAGCCATCTTAAAGCATGCCGGCTGGGGGATTCTGCGGGTTCAAATTCAGCCATCTTAAAGCATGCTGGCTGAGGGATTCTGGGGGTTGAAGTTCAGCCCTCTTAAAGCATGATGGCTAGGGGATTCTGGGGGCTCAAATTCAGCCATGTTAAAGCATGCTGGCTGGGGGATTCTGGGAGCTGATGTTCAGCCATCTTAAACATGCTGGCTGGGGGATTATGGGAGTTGAAGTTTAGCCCTCTTAAAGCATGGTGGCTGGAGGATTCTGGGAGTTGAAGTGCAGCCCTCTTAAAGCATGTCAGCTAGGGGATTCTGGGAATTGAAGTTCAACCCTCTTAAAACATGCTGGCCGGAGGATTCTGGGAGTTGAAGTCCACAATGTAGCTGAAGGTGGACACCCCATCTAGACACTTGTAGGCCCAATCTTATCCATGTTAAACTTAGCCAAGTTCTCTTTCTGAATCCCTGGTCATCTAGACGGTCCTTCCAACTTCCTCCTCAGGAAGGGCGGAGCCGGCCAAAAGCCCATCCTCCACTGCCGCTGAGGAGGGAAGCAGTCCCAGACCTTCCCTCACCCTTACGACCTTTGTAGCATCCCCTGCGGTCGGGGGGGGGGGGATCAAGATTCAGACGCTTGGCCAATGGACTTGAACTTACGACGGTCGCCGTATCCCCGGGATCAGGCGATCCCCTTTTGCGACCTTCCCGAATCCAGGTTCACTTAACGACCGGGCGACCGGCTTATGGACGCCACCGCGGCACGACACGTCGTAAAACGGGGCCGAACTCAAATTGCTCGCCGAGTAGCAGGGCGCCTTCGTGGTCGCTAAATCGAGGACCGGGGAGGAAAGTCTGAAATGTTCGTGGGGGGGGGGGAAGGGAGGAGATTGGCAGGAGCCTCAGAGCTGGGAGTCCTCGAGTTACGACGGTTCGTTTAGTGACGGGAGGCCGGCGAGAGAGGCTCCGATGCGCCCCCCCCTCTCCTGAGTCCGACTCTGGGCCTGCTGCCATCCAGGTGGGCACGGCTGCCCAGGTGAGTTTCGGCCGGGGGGGGGGACAGGGAAGGGGAGGGGTCCTCCTTCACCGATCAACGGGGGAGGGCCTGTTACCTAGCCCCCCCCTTTCCCCCCTCCCCCCTTTTGAGCCTTTGCAAGATTTGAGGAGGGGGCTTCTTGGAATGCTGGAGGGTGTGTGTGTGTGTGTTTGTGTGTGTGTGTATGTGTGATGCTCTCAGCGCCCCCCCTCCCCGTTGATTTGCCCAGCTCAGATTGCTGAGCCCCCCCAGGGGAGTGGGAGGGGGGAAGGACCACCTCTTTCAATGCCCCCCCCATGAGGATGGAGACCCCAGCCCACCCATGGGTGCTCTACATGGCCCCCCGCTAAGGATGGAGACCCCAGCCCACCCATGGCTGCTCCCAATGGCCCCCCGGCAAAGAAGGAGACCCCAGCCTGCCCACGGGTGCTCCAAATGGCCCCCCCTCGGAAGAAGAAGACCCCAGCCCACTCACGGGTGCTCCCAATGGCCCCCCCTCGGTGGGAGACCCCAGCCCACCCATGGGTGCTCTAAATGGCCCCCCTCGTAGGATGGAGACCCCAACCCACCCACGGGTGCTCCTAATGCCAACCCTAGCAAAGATGGAGACACCAGCCCACCCACGGGTGCTCCCAATGCCAACCCTAGCAAGGATGGAGACCCCAGCCCACCCATGGGTGCGCCCAATGGCCCCTCCACCGAGGGAGGAGACCCCAGCCCACCCATGGGTGCTCCCAATGGCCCCCTCGCTGCAGGATGGAGAACACAAGCCCGACCATGGCTTCTCCCAATGGCCCCCACGGCAAAGAAGGAGACACCCAGGCCCGTCCCACGGGTGCTCCAATGGCCCCCCGTCGGAGGCAAGGAAGACCACAGCCAACCCAACGGTTGCTCCCATGGCCCCCCTGGTGGGGACGACCCCAGCCCACCCCACTGGGGTGCTTAAATGCCACCCCCTGTAGGAGTGGCAGACCCAAGCTTCGACCCCAACCCACCCACGGGTGCTCCTAATGCCAACCCTAGCAAAGATGGAGACACCAGCCCACCCACGGGTGCTCCCAATGCCAACCCTAGCAAGGATGGAGACCCCAGCCCACCCATGGGTGCGCCCAATGGCCCCTCCACCGAGGGAGGAGACCCCAGCCCACCCATGGGTGCTCCCAATGGCCCCCCCCGGCGAAGGAGACCCAGCCCACCCCACTGGGTGTGCTCCCAATGCCCCCCAGTTGAAGGAGATCCCGAGCCTACCCACAGTTGATCCCAAGTGGTCCCCCCCTGCTGAAGGAGGAGACCCCAGCCCACCATGGGTGCAGTCCCAATAGGCCCCACCCTTGGAGGACGGAGACCCCAGCCCACCCATGGGTGCTCCCAATGGCCCCCCTCGGAGGAAGGAGACCCCAGCCCACCCTGGGTGCTCCCAATGCCCCACCCCGCTGAGGATGGAGACCCCAGCCCATCCACGGGTGCTCCCAATTGCCCCCCCCTTGGAGGAAGGAGACCCCAGCCCACCCACGGGTGCCCCCAACGCCCCCCCCCCGTCAACAGACCCACCCAATGGAGGCTTCTCCCCCCCCGCCCCCCCCCCAGAGGGGAGGCACTCTGCCCTGGCTCAGAGGCACCGGGGCTCCGTCTCTCTCTCTCTCTCTCTCCATCCTTCCCGAGCCAGCCGGGTGACGGTCGCCCCCCCCCTCACCACCACCTCGGCCTCATCACCTCGGAGCGCTGCCATTGGCGGAGAGGCGTCCTGGCTCCGCCCCCCACCCCCCACCCCACCCCGGACCTGAGCTGGCTCCTCCCCCCCCTGGCGGCCGCAGCCCCCGCCGCCGCCGTTCTGGACCGCCGGAGCCGCTGGGCCGGGCGAGACCCCCGCACCGGCCGACGAGACGAGCCCGGCCGGCAGCCCGGGGCGGAAAGAAGCCCCGGGGCTGCCGTCCGTGCCTTACAACCTCCTCGCCGCTTTCCTTCGCCTGGCTCTCTCTCTCTCCCCCCCTCCCCTCTGCCTCCCCCCCTCCCTTTCTCCATCGCCTTTGCCTAAATAAGGGCGCTGCGCCCGCGGGCCGGACTCAGCCCGTCCCGTCGGGCTAGAGACCCCCACCCCGGGCTCGGGGGTCTTGGGGGGGTCTTGGGGGGAGAGCCCCCCTCCTTGCGGACCCCTCCCCTCCTCCGCCCCGGCGCGCCCGGGTTCCGACCGGGCTGCCCCAGAGGAGAGGGGTGGGTGGGGGTGGGGGGCGTCGGGGGGGAGGAGGAGGGGGTCTTGCCTTCCTCCTCCCCTCGGGGTCCCTCGCCCCCCCCTTCCCCTCCTCCTCCTCCTCCTCCCCCTCCCTCCCGCTCGACCTTGCGCTGCCTTGAAGGGCCCCAGCGCTGGGCCGTCCGGGGGTCGCCGCTGTCGGGGGGCCTGGCGGGGAGGGGGCGCCGGGCGACCCTCCCCCATGGGCTGGCAGCATGCCGGTCCGGCGCGGGCACGTGGCCCCCCCGAACACCTTCCTGGACGTCATCATCCGCAAGTTTGAAGGGCAGAGTAAGTGGGGGGGGGACGGGGGTCGGCGGAGGGGGCGGGGCGGGAGACCACCCCCCCCGGAGGAGGAGGAGGAAGGCTGGGGCAGGGGCGCAGGAGGGGCGGGGGCGCCCTCTGGAGGGAGGGGGCCCTGGGGTGAGATAACGGTTCTGGGGTGGGGGTCAGGAGGAGGCCTAAAAGATCAAAGCCGGGAGGGGGGGGTCGGGGGTCCCAGGAGAGGAGGGGAGGCTGAGAAGCCGGGCGTAGGGGGTCTCCTCCGAAAGGGGGGGGGTGAGAGCAGGAAAAGTGAGGAGGGGGGATGTTTGCTTTGGCGAGGGAGGGGCGAATGGCGGGGGGGGGTGAGAGGCTCGGCGGATCCATCCCTTCTTCTCTCGCCCCCCCTCCCGTGGTCATCCGAGGGGCAGGGGGCTGCAAGGGGGGGGGAAGGCAGCCGAGGGAGAGAAGGGGGGCAGGCAGGCTGGGGGGGGGGACGACCACCGACCCTAGACTTGGAGAGGGGGGCTGGCCAGAGAATAGAGGAAGGGGGGGCGGGGGAGCAAGGCGCAGGGGGGGCTAGCCGGCCACTCGGGTTGGGGAGGGGTCTTTTGGCCCAGGGGAGCCCGCTGGGTTGGGGGGGATAGTGGGGGGGGGGAGTATAGGGGAAGGAGTTTGGGATTGAGGCCGTTGAGCTGGGGGCGAAGTAGCCCCTGCCCGCCCTGTCCCCTAAGCCTTCATGGGTTGTGTGTGTGTGTTTGTGTGTCTACGCACCCGCAAACACACACAAGGGGGTCTTAACTCCCCGCCTCATCGCTCCATGACTGGGGTGGGGGTGGGAGAATCAGAAGGGACGGGGGAGCTTGGCTCACCCCTGTGATGGGGGGGGGCTGGGCCAGAACCGGCTCCCCTGCTCGTCCGGACTTTGGGGACGGGGACTCTGCTTCAACCCTTTGGGGGTCAACCCCCCCCAGACTAAGGGGGGTGCAGTTAGGACTTCACAAGGTCCTTTTGATGCCCACCTGCCCAGAGGGAAAGCTGAGAGGAGAGGAAGCTTCCGGAGGAGGAAGCGGCGGTCAGGATTCGAATCCGAGACCGGGGGCCCAAACGTGAGCCTCCACCTGAACGCCTGTCCTCTCTCCATCCTGCCGATCCCAGCGGGAGGGCAGGCGACCCACAGCCGAGGCACCCGTGGGATGGCTCAGGTGGGCGAGGGGAAGCCGGTCCCTGCGGGGAGAGGTAGACTAGATGACCGTCCAGGTCCCTTCCGGCTCTGTGATTCTGTCATCCTGTCAGGGTCTTCTGCTTGAGCGAGGGGGTTACACTAGATGACCTCCAAGGTCCCTTCCTACTGTATCATTCTATGATTTTATAAGCGTCTCCTGCTCAAGCAGGAGGCTGGACTAGATGACCTCCAAAGTCCCTTCCAGCTCAGCCCTTCTGGGATTCTGTAAGGCTCTCCTGCTCGAGCAGGGGGTTGGACTAGATGACTGCTGAGGTACCCTTCAGCTCAGTCATCCTATGAGTCTGTCATGGTCTCCTGCTCGAGCAGGAGGCTGGACTAGATGACCTCCGAGGTCCCATCCAACTCAGTCATTCTATGACTCTGTAAGGCTCTTTTCCTCCGGCAGGGGGCTGGACTAGATGACCTCCGAGGTCCCCTCCAGCTCAGTCATTCTATGACTGTCAGGCTCTCCTGCTCGAGCAAGGGGCTGGAGTAGATGACCTCCGAGGTCCCATCCAACTCAGTCATTCTATGACTCTGTAAGGCTCTTCTCTGGCAGGGGCTGGACTAGATGACCTCCAAGGTCCCGTATAACTCAGTCATTTTATGACTCTGTAAGGCTCTTCTCCTCCGGCAGGGGGCTGGACTAGATGACCTCCGAGGTCCCCTCCAGCTCAGTCATTCTATGACTCTGTAAGGCTCTTCCCCTCCAGCAGGGGGTGAAGAGAAGGGGGGGTCCTTCCAACTGACACCCCCCCTTTTTTTTTTCCCCCGCGGCAGGCCGTAAGTTCATCATCGCCAACGCCCGGGTGGAGAACTGCGCCATCATCTACTGCAATGATGGATTTTGTGATCTCTGCGGCTACAGCCGGGCCGAGGTCATGCAGAAGCCGTGCACCTGTGACTTCCTCTACGGCCCTCGAACGCAGAGCAGCGCCAGCGCTCAGATCGCCCAGGCCCTGCTGGGCTCCGAGGAGCGAAAGGTGGAGATTTCCTTCTACCGGAAGGACGGTGAGTCCGACTCCGGGCGGGGGGGGTGTAGGCCCACCTGGGGGGGTTGGACTAGATGATCTCTGAGGTGGCGTCCAGCTCTTTGATACTGGAAGGGTCTCTTTGATTGAGAAGGGGGTTGGACTAGATGACCTCCGAGGTCCCTTCCAGCTCTGTCATTCTGTAAGGTTGGACTAGATGACCTCCGAGGTCCCTTCCAGCTGTGTGATTCTGTAAGGGTCTCCTGCTTGAGCAGGGGGTTGGACTAGATGACCTCCGAGGTCCCTTCCAGCTGTGTGATTCTGTAAGGGTCTCCTGCTTGAGCAGGGGGTTGGGCTAGATGACCTCCGAGGTCACTTCTAGCTGTGTGATTCTGTAAGGGTCTCCTGCTTGAGCAGGGGGTTGGGCTAGATGACCTCCAAGGTCCCTTCCAGCTGTGTGATTCTGTAAGCAGGGGGTTGGCCTGGATGACCTCCCGAGGTCCCTTCCAGCTGTGTGATTCTGTAAGGGTCTCCTGCTTGAGCAGGGGGTTGGGCTACATGACCTCCGAGGTCTCTTCCCGCTGTGTGATTCTGTAAGGGTCTCCTGCTTGAGCAGGGGGTTGGGCTAGATGACCTCCGAGGTCCCGTCCAACTCTGTCATTCTGTAAATGTTTCCTCCTTGAGCAGGGGGTTGGACTGGATGACCTCCCAGGTCCCTTCCAACTCAGTTTGAGGTAGTTCACTTTGTGACCCTCCAAAGGTACAACGGCCCTGGAAAAAAGTGACTTTTGACTTACGACTAGGAAACTCAGAGGCTCATCCACCGACTCACCTTTACGACGGTCGACGTGTCCAGGGGTCACGTGACCCCCCCACCCCCTTTGACCACCTTCTGGCCCGCAAAGTCCAAGGGGAAGCTGGGTTTGCTTAAGAACGGGGGGGGGGACTAAATTTAACAACGGTGGCGATTCCCTTTGTGACGGTGTGCCGGAACGGTCGTAAAACGGGTCGTAAAATCGCCTGTCAGAAATGTCAGGAATTTGAGGCTCCGTTGTGGTCGCCAATTGATGGCACTCTCTGTACCCCCTTGTCGAGGGCTGTTGTGACACAAATTGCCAGCGTCGAGGGGCGGAGGGTTGGTCTAGATGACCTCGGGTGAGGATGTGGGTCCGTCCTGGCAAGCCCTATGGAACAGACCGCAAAGCCTCCATACAGGAAGTCCTCCATTTACGACCAGAACCGAGCCCATTTTTGATTGCTAACTGAGACATGGGTCACTAAGTGAGACATTTGTCCCCGTGTTTCGACCGGACTTGCCGCCGTGGTTACGTAGTTACATCCCTTGCAGCTGATCAGTTCACAGCGGCCGGCCTCCACTTACGACACCGAGGGAGCCCAGAATTTCGGTCGCGAAGCGAGACACTTTCCCCCCCTCGTGCGACCTTTCTTGCCCCCGTTGCTGCCGTCGTTAAGCGAGTCAGCTGGTTGTGAAGTGAATCTGGCTTCCTCCCCCCTGCCCCCCTTGACTTTGCCGGTCAGACGGCCGCAAAAGAGGGGGATCGTGGGAGCCCCCCTGCCTCCCCCAGGGACACGGCGACCGTCGTAAATACGAGTCGGTTGCCGAGAGCCTCTGAATTTTGGTCGTTAAGTGTGAAAAAAGGGTAATGGGTGACGTCCAAACTTGGGACGGTCACTAAACGAGGCGTCGTTATGTCGAGGACTTGCCTATGTAGGGGAAGATTGTGGGGAAAAGCCGTCATTTTTAGAACGTTTTGGGGTGTTTTCCGCTTTTCTGCCACATTGTTTTCATTTGCAAAATAGCTGAACTTTCTGCAGGCAGCTGAGCGGTGCTTTTTTTTTTTTTTAAACTCTGTCTGTCAATCATTTCTCAATCCCCCCCCCCCCAAAATGTGTCCAACGGGATTTTTTTCAAGGCTGGACCTTCCCCAGTTTTCCCGACAAATGTTTCTTCTCCGGATCCTCTGGCACATTTGCCATATTTCTTTCTTTTTTTTTTTTTTTAAAGCTTTCTACACAATCTGGAAGTTGCAACATTTGTGCAGAAAAGCAACCCTGGGTTTTTCGCCCCCCCCCCCCAATTCTTTAGTGCTTTTTTTGTGTGTGTGTGTGTGTGAGACAATCCAGAATTATTTCGCGTTCGTCCTTGACATTTTATCCGCTGGGATTGCAGAAGCCGGTTTTGAAGGAGGGAAGTTTTGAGAGAAGAGAAGAAGGAAGGAAGGAAGGAAGGAAGGAAGGAAGGAAGGAAGGAAGGAAGGAAAAAGAGGGAGAAGGGGAGAGAGAGAAATAGAAAAAGAGAAAGAGAGAGAGGGTGAGAGAGAAAGAGACAGGGAGAGAAAGAGGGAGAGAGAAAGAGAAAGAAAGAGAGAGAAAAAGAGAGAGAATGAGGGAGAGAAAGAGAAAGGGAGAAAGAGGGAAGAGAGAGAAAGGGAGAGAGAAAGGGAGAGAGAAGGGCAGAGAGAAAGAGAAAAAGAGAAAAAAGAATGAGGAGAGAGAGAATGAGAGAAAGAAAGAGGGAGAGAGAAGGAAGGAGAAAAAGGGAAGAGAAAGAGGGAGAGAGAATGACAGAGAAAAAAGACAGAACTAGAGAAGGAGAAAAAAGAGAAAGAAAAAAAGAAGAAGGAAGGAAGGGGAGAGACAGAGCGAGGGAAGAGAAAGAGACAGGGAAAGAGATAAAAAGAGAAAGAAAGAAAGGCAGAAAAAGAGAGAGAAAAGAGATAGAGAGAAGAAAGAAAGGGAGAGAGTGAAAGAAAGAAAAAAGAGAAAGAAAAAAAGGAGAGAGAGAAAGAGAAAAAAAAGAAAGAAAGAAAGAAGGGAACAGACAGAAAGAGAAAAAGAGATAGAGAAAAAAGAAAGAAAGAAGGGGGGAAAGAAAAAAGAGAGAAAGAGAAAGAAAGGGAGAGAGAGAGAGAAAGAAAAGAAAGAAAGAAAAAAAGAAAAAAGGACAGAGAGAAAGAGAGAGAAAAGAAAAGAAAGAAAGAGAAAGGAGGGGGACAGAGAGAAAGAGAAAAAAAGAAAGAGAAAGAAAGAAAAAAGAGAAAGGAAAGAAAAGAGGGGGAGAGAAAGAGAAAAAAGAGAAAGAAAGAAAGAAAGAAAGAAAGAAAAAAGGACAGAGAGAAAGAGAGAGAAAAGAAAAGAAAGAAAGAGAAAGGATGGAGACAGAGAGAAAGAGAGAAAAGAAAGAAAGGAAAGAAAGAAAGAAAGAAAGGGGGAGAGAGAAAAAGAAAGAAAAAGATAGAGAGAAAGGGAAAGAAAAAAGAAAGAAAGAAAGGAAGGAAGGAAAGAAAGGAGGGAGAGAGAGAGAAAAGAAAGAAAAGAAAGAAAAAGAAAAGGGGACAGAGAGAAAGAAAGAGAAAGAGAGAGAGAGAGAGAAAAGAAAGAAAGCAAGGAGGGGAGAGAGAGAAAAAAGAGAAAGAAAGAAAGAGGAGGACAGAGAAAGAGAGAGAGAAAGAGAGAGAGAGAGAAAAAAGAAGGAAAAAGAAAAAAGGAAAGAAAGGGGGAGAGAAAGGAAGAGAGAGAAAAGAGAAAGAAAAGAAAGAAAGAAAGAAAGAAAGAAAGAAAGAAAGAGGGAGACAGCGAGAAAGAGAGAGAAAGAGATAGAGACAACAGAAAGAAAAAGAAAGGAAAGAAAGCGGGGGAGAGAGAAAAAAGAAAAGAACGAAGGAAAGAAAGAAAGGCGATCCCCTAGAGCGTAACATTTATTTCCGGGGGGGGGGGAGGGCTGTTGCTGCGCTCTGCACGCGACTTGGCGCCAACCGGGACGCCCGGCCTGGAGTCGCGTGCAGACTTTTCCGCAGCCGAAGGAAAATACTTCAAATTCTTCGGCCCCTGCAGAGGAGAGGGTGTGTGTGTGTGTGTGTGTGTGTGTGTGTGTGTGTGTGTGTGTGTGTGTGTGTTTGTGTCACTCAGCCAGGCACAGCAGCTGATGTGCACACGGGGGAACAGCTCAAGGGTGTGTGTGTGTGGGGGGGGAGCCTGGAGCGGCCACACACAGCGTTGTGCAGTGTGTGTTTGTTGTCGTGTCGTCTCCGTGTCTGCCATTAACCTTGGCCCTTTGCAAGAGGGATCCTTCCCTCCGCTGGGAGAGAGAGAGGGGAACGTTCCCTGCCTGGACTCGCTTCGGCTTCCCAAGACGGATTCCCTCCCGGCCTCGGAATAGAGCCGGGAGGGGCCTCGGAGGTCCTCTAGTCCAGCCCCCTACTCAAGCGATCGATCGAAAGAGACCTGGAAGGGACCTCGGAGGTCCTCTAGTCCAGCCCCCTGCTCCAGCAGGAGATACTTGCAGAGTCATAGAATAACAGACTCGGGAGGGACCTCGGAGGTCATCTAGTCTAGCCCCCTGCTCGAGCAGGAGATCCTTACAGAGTCATAGAATAGCAGACTTGGAAGGGACCTCGGAGGTCATCTAGTCCAGCCCCCTGCTCGAGCAGGAGATCCTTACAGAGTCATAGAATAGCAGACTTGGAAGGGACCTCGGAGGTCATCTAGTCCAGCCCCCTGCTCGAGCAGGAGATCCTTACAGAGTCATAGAATAATAGAATGGAATAATATAATAGGATAAAAGAATAATAGAATAATAGAATAGAATAATACAATAAGAATAGAGAATAGAAAATAGAAAAGAATAGAATATAGAATAGAATAGAATAATAGAATAGAATAAGAATAGACAATAGAATAGAAATAGAGAATAGAATAGAATAATAGTATAATAGAATAAAAGAATAATAGAATAGAGAATAGAAGTAGAGAATAGAATAGGATAGGATAATAGAATAATAGAATAAGAATAGAGAATAGAGAGTAGAATAGAAAAGAATACAAAGTGGAATACAATAGAATAATAGAATAGAATAGTAGATTAAGATTAGAGAATAGAGAATAGAATTGAAATAGAGAATAGAATAGAATAGAATGATAGTATAATAGAATAGAGAATAGAACAGAATAGAATAGAATAATAGGATAATAGAATGAGAATAGAGAATAGAACAGAAATAGAGAATAGAATAGAATAGA